ACAAGTAGACTGAAGAACAAAAACGATAGCAACTTGTCTGTTCCCCTTCCCCCAATTCCCCAGCACTGTTCCCATCCCCCCAATTCCCCAAAAAAATCTTAAAAAAAAAAACAAAAAACCCAGCAAGGTATGTCAGAGGCATATGTCTGTGTAGAGCTTTGCCTTGTAATCATATTTCAGTGTACTTTAAGTCATCACAGTTCTAGTTACAGTGCTAAGCAATGGCCAAGAGCCAGCTCCACAGGACTGAGTGCTCCTCCATGTTAAGCACTTTATGTAGTGATATTAACACGGTGATTCTCTCAACAGCTCCATGAGGCAGGACAAGGAATTGTCCCTATTTTTTGAGAAAGCGGAGGCTCCATGGGGTAGAGTGACCAACTCAAGGTCACACACTGGGGAGTGGCAAAGCCCAGACACAAATCCTGATCTGTCCAACCTCAAACCCGGATGTTAATCACCAGTGATGAGGTTAGAAATCTGGTGCCCAGAGGAAAGTAAATAAAGTCCAGGTAGGCTGTCCAGCCCTGCAGTTCCCTTCTAGGAGACTCCTCGCATGGGTTATGTGGGATGTATGTGCACAGGATGTGCAGGACAGTGTCAGTATGGGGAGCCAGAAGCAGGGACGGAGGGAACTCAGAGCAGGGATGCCGGGAGTCCTGCACAATCATCAGAAGGCACAGACCAGGTGTGACAGGGCAACATGGGGGCTCTGACTTAAAATTGATGAGTGAGAAAAGCAGATGGGACAGTGCAGCTCTGAGTACGTGTGTACTTAAAAAAAACAAAGGCACAGAAACACATCCAGGCTAAGAGAAGCCAGGGTAAAGGCCACTCCTAGGGATGAGGGGACTAGGGGGGACTGGAGGGGGTCCCTGGGGTTGGAGGGGTTCTGTTTCAGGACCTAGGTGCTGGTTACACAGATGTGTGTTCCTTGTGAAAAAATGTGAGCTGTGTACATATGGCGTGCACTTTTCTGTACTGGGGTCACACTTCAACAGCACACAAAAAAAATACTTATACAATAGTAACCAGTCACAATGTGTGGGCTTCGTTTGGATCCAGATTCAAACAAACAAACTGTAGAAAACAAAAAACATAGCATTTATGAAATGACTGGAATGCTGACTGGATATGTGGTGAACCAAGGAAGGGCTGCTAATTTTTTAGGTATGATAATGGTATTGTGACTGTGTTTATAAAAACTGAATAAAATTGTATAATATCTGGGATTTGCTTTTAAATAATATGGAGGGAGGGGCAGCTGGTTAGCTCAGCTGGTTAGAGTGCAATGCTCATAACACCAAGGTTGCCAGTTTGATCCCCGCGTGGGCCACGGATTGAAACAACTACTTGACTTGGAGCTGATGGGTCCTGGAAAAACACACTCTTCCCCAATAAAAAAAAAAGAGGGTCTCTCAAAGATTAAAAAAAAAAATAATAATAATAATAATAATAATAATAATAATAATAATATGGAGGGAAAATGTGAGGTAAGGATGAAAGCAGAGACCTCAAGTTGACAACTATTGCAGCTGGCCAAGGAGCTTAAGGGTTCACCGTACCCCGTGCTTCCTTTTGTGTGTCTGTGTTTGGAGTTCTTTATACTAACAAAAATATACATGTCGCAAGAACACAAAGGAACAAGATGATATACGTTAAACCTATTAGAAGCCACTCTGCAGTGGAGGAATGGGGATGAGAAAAAGAGATAAAAGACAAAATTTTTAATAGGCAGTAAAGAAGAAAAAGAAAAAAGTGAGGCAGGAGGGAAGGAAGGAGGGGGAAGAGAGGAGAAAAAGGAGAGGGGGGAGGGAAAGAGGGGAGGCCCCAGGAGACCCCGCCCCCAGCTCTGACCTTGTAGTGTTCCGCCATGACCATGAATACCAGCTCGAAGGGGGTACCCTTGTGGAAGGGCATGCTCCTTATCTTCTCCTCCTTGCCCCACTGGCCTCCCTGCTGCGCATTGAAGACCACCTTGTCCCAGCCATCAAACCGGGGATTGAAGTGGAAGGCAATGTCGGACCCGGAGCCCTGTCCCACCATGAAGTTCACGGAGAACCTGGAGGGAATCGAAGGGCTGTTCCCCTGGCCTGCCAGCCCAGGGAATCCAGCTGTGCCCCACCCTGTTCCAAGGTCTCTGACCGGGAGACCTTGGCTCTGTTGACCCAACACAGGAGGGAGAGGTCTTGCCCCTGAATTCCAGCAGGCAGATCACCAATGCCACCCCTTCACTCACTCCCTTTCCTTACTAGACCCCTCCCCATTTCCTCCAACTTCAAATAGGGACTGCCACTGGGACTTCTGTGTTTCAGCCTTGGTCACCATGGGCCAGGCACTGGCCTAAGATGTAGGGTTCCTACATCTATCAGTTCAGGCCTCTCTGCTCCCTCCCTGGCCATTCCCCACAGGCACCTTGTGAACACCCAAATCAGAGCACCTCCCCTTATGCCAGCACCCCCCCGAGTTATTCCATGAGGCAGGCACACACCTGTCACAGGGCTTTTGCACTGGCTGTTCTTTCTGCCTGGATTGCCCTTTCCTCAGATACACCCCAGGCTCCCTCTCTCACCTCCTTCAGGTCTTTGCTGAAATGTTCCCTTCCCAGGGAGGCCTTCCCTGGCCACCCTATTTAAAGGGAGAATGACACACCCCTCCCACTCGCATCCACTACCCATCTCCCTTTCCTCCTTATCTATCTCCATAGCACTTATCAGTATTTGCTATACCATATATTTGACTTATTTATCTTTCTCCTCTACTAGGGTGTCATCTCCATGAGGGCAGTGATCTTTGTCCTGTTGACTGCTCCGTCCCCAGTGCCCAGGCAGAGAGTGGGCACTCAATAAGCAAAGAAACAATGAACAAAGAAGCAACAATCCTGTTATTATCACCATTTTAAGGCCATAAAAAAAAAAGCTAAGGCTTATTAATATTTTAGTGCTTACTTTCCAACGCTACGCCTTTTACACACTGAATCCTCAAAACAACCCCATTTTACAGATGGAAAACTAAAGCCCAGAATGGTACAGTGACTTTCCCAGTCACACAGCTGGTAAGTGACAGAGCTGGCCCAGCTCTGGGCCTGTGATCTTCATTCATGCTATCACAGCCATCATTTCCAATCTAATGGCTCAAGTCTGGGGCTACCTCCCATGGTGAGCCTCCCTAGCCCCTCTCAATGCCCAAAGCTCCCCTCCTGATCTGATCACCAAGCCCTGGACTCCCCAGACCAGAGTTGGTCTTCAGGTGTGGTGGCATAGAGCCCCTCCCAAACCAGGGCGGAGGAAGGGAAGAGGCCAGAAGACCCCTGTTTATAGGCTCTCTCCTACCCTAGCCTGGCCTGGGGGAGGGTCTTACCTCTTCATGTGCTCACTTGCCACTCCTTGGATGTAAATGGACATTCCCACGCTGAGACCACCAGGGATGGGCTTGTTGTAGGGCAGAGTCTGTAGAAAAGGCCAGGTGAAGGGCCTCAAAGGCCATCCACCTATTGCAGCCTTTACCCCTCATTGAGAAGCCCCCCCACTCCCTTAAGCAAGAGAGAGGAAACTTAAGGGGTGAGGGGTTGGCATGAAGATGAAGAGAGCCGAGAGTTAGATATGGACATAAATAGCCTGAGTGGCAGGGTGGGAGTAAATCAAACCTCAGGGGCAGTATTGGGTAAATCAGGTCCACGGGTCAGTTAGGCACCTCTGAGGTTTAGGGTGAGAGTAAATTGGTGTGTGGGGGTCAGAGTGGAGCTAAGCCATGGCCTGGGTTGAAGCCTGGGCCTGGGCGGGTTTCTTACCGGGTTGTAGGTGGGCTGGTAGCCCGGTGCAGGAACATAGGTCATCTTGAGAGGCTGGGCTGGTGGCTGATCCTGTGAGAAGAGCTGCAGGAGTGGGGAATGGTGACAGATGGCTTGCTCTTATACCTGAGGATAAGGGAGTGGCCGGCACGTCAGAGTCCACGGGGACTCTCTTCTGGGCATCGCAGGCTCATGTCTTCTGCTAGGGCAGCCCCCAGTCTCCCGAGGTTCTCCCACCAGCCTAAGTGGTAACTAGCCAGAACCCAGATCATCTGGGCCAGGCCTGGGGGACTCAGGTCAGGGACCCCTCCTCTAGACCTTTCTGCAGAGAGGAAGTACTAGTGAACTTTGGCCTTGCCGAGCCTTATCTGAATCCATAAAACCCTGCCCAAAGCTTTGTTAGCAGAGGGAGGGTGAGGCCAGGTGGGTTGGGCAGGGCAGAGCTGTAGGAGTAGCCCAGGACAGGTGGGCAATGGAAGCAAGTGAAAGCAGGGAGGGACTGGGTGCTCTTGACACTTCAGAAACTATCAAAGGACCAAAATTGATTGTGTGCCTACTACATGCCTTTACCATGACTTTCTATTGTATACATAGTGGTTTAGATCACTGACTTCTGCAGCAAGAGGTTCTGGGTTCAAATCCTGCCTCTGCCACTTCCTGGCATCAATGCTTTAACCTCAATTTGCCCATTTATGAAATGGAGATATTAATAGTATCAACCTCATAGGGTCCTTGAAATGCATCACTAAGTTAATAAATGCTCAGAACAGGACTTGGCATATATTGGGTTGTCGGAAAAGTCATGACGCATTTTTGCAACAAAAAATAGAAAAAATACGGCATAACTTTTCCGACAACCCAATAGCAGGCATTAAATTAATGCTTGGTCTCTTGAATTCATTCCAAACATAAATCCAGGATGGTGGAATTATATGTGGATGAGAAAACCCAAAGCTTAAAGAAATGAGGTAGTTGGCCAGAGACAGGGTAGCAATGGACCCTAGCACCAGATCCCACTATGCAGTGAGGGGACCAGGCAGGGTGAGCACCACCCTCAAGCCTGGAGCAGGCAGAGACCATCTGTAGCCTTTCCACCCAGTCAGAGCCATGTGACTTTTGCTTACTCCATCCCTGCCATACTTTCTATCGGCCATGGCCTGCCCACTGCCAGCTCTGAACGGTCATCACCTGAGTGGCTCCCATTCCCATTGGTCAAAGCTCTCTCCCCAACCTTCAGCACAACTGCGGTCCTTGGAGCCCCCCAGGCATTTCCCCTTTCTCCAATAAGAACACCAGATTCTTGACATAGCTTTATTGTTCATGGGGCAAACATAAGGCCCTGGGCATGAAGAAATCAGTGTCATAAAGTTATGAACTGGTAGACTGCGTGAGAAGCAGCGAGGTGACTATCTTCACTAATCCTCTCTCTGTAGATGAGGAAGCACAGGCACAAGGTGGGACAAGGCCAGACCCCAGGCCAGGGCCTAGGACGTGGGGGCTCTCAGAGCTTGGAGAAGGTAACACTCTTCAGTTCCTTCTTCTCCATTGCGGCCTGGACAGACTTAACGATGTCCTGGGTTTGCAGCATGCTCATGTTCCAGGAAGTCTGGATAAGAGGGCAGTGGGTAATGGAAAGAAAAGGGAAAGACGAGTTGGACGAGTTGGACGAATGCAAAACAGGGGACATAGAGCACCAGAGGACAAGGCCTGCAGAGGCCTCTGAGCCCTGATTGGCTGCTCTGGCATCAGAGAAAGGCCGTGATTGGTTGGATGGAGAGCCTCACCATGTAGTTAAGGCCCTCAGCCACTGAATGGTCGCGGGAGTAGAGCAGGTTGATTTTGGTGCCCTGAACTGCCACGGGGCTCTTGGTGGAAATCTCAGCCGCCAGGGTGAAGGCCGCGTCAAGCATGACTTCCTTGTCTGGGAACATCCGGCTGGGAATGAAGGGATGAAGGGCATCAGGAATCAGGGAGCGGGGTCTAAGAAGGGTTCTCTTCCCTGCCTCTCACAGAAGTAGCCATTCACAGTAGAAAGATGAAGATACCCTCTTTCTGAAATGGACCAATCAGTGCAGGGAACAAGATTCCAGAATAAAGAACTGAGCACTCAGAGAGAGGAAGCTACTTGGAATCCACGAGTGAGGATCTACTGGGATCAAGAGAGCCCCACCCAGGCCTGGCTGACCCTGAGCAAAGCCACAGGCTGTGGCCCTACCTGACCAGCCCACTGTCCAGAGCTTCGTCAGCCATCATCTTGCGAGCGGTGAAGGCCAGCTCATTGACCAGGCTGCAGGAGGACAGGACATATCAGGGGACAGCCGTAATTACGGGACAGGAGATACCCTGTGCTCACCTCCCTCAGGCTCCCCTGACCCACCTCTGGTTCCCGATGACTCTGGGCAGACGCTGCAGTGTTCCCACATCAGCCGCCAGACCTATATCCACCTCCTGGGGGGGGAGCAATCACATCAGTACTTGTTTTCTGCACAGTATGGCCCCCCCATGCGACCTCAATGCCAATGAAATTCTGTACGTGCTGTAGAGGTCCCACTCCACCCCACTTCAGACACCTCTCCCGCAATACTCCATTCCATTCCCATCCACGTACTTTCACCCATGGGGGTTTCTTCAGTCTACAATAGAGTCCACCTTCCAATTCCTCTGCCCTCCCAGTTCTTTGGGGTCAGCCATGTCTATCTCCCGAGGGACCTTAATCCTGTTCACTTCATGCCCTTTACCGCATCCACGGGCTCCATCCTGCCTCCTGCCCTCTCCAGCACTGACCCCATGACGTGGCACCCCAGCCTCACCTGAACTGCATGACTTACCCTTGACTTCCATGACCAAGCCTTATTTTTAAGGGTCAATTCTGATTAACTCTTCCATGAAGACCTCCAGGCTTCCTCTAGACCCCTCTCCCCACCCCAGCCCCTGAGCCTGCACTGCCCCCACTCTGTCATTATTGCCCAGCTCTAAGTAGGACCCGAGGAAACAGAAACTCAGAAGGATGGCTCACCTTCACCTGGAAGAAAGCATCCTGGGCACAGTACCGGATGTCACAGGCGGTGATGAGGTCCACACCTGGGAGGTAGAGACCAGGGACACTAAAACAACCACGAGGACCAAACCCTCCTCTTAGGTTGTGAGGTTGCACCTTTGGACAAGGTCTAGCAACAGATATGAGGCTGGAGGCCATTGGCTGAGGCAGAAGGGCAGCAGCCAATAGGTACCTAGCCAGAGAGAGTGCCTGGGTAGGTGGTGGACACAGACTCACCTCCACCAATGCAGCCCCCGTGGATGGCGGCGATTACAGGCTTAGGGCACTGGAAGGGTACAGGAGGGGCAGGGTCAGGGCTGGCCCAGGACAGGTGGGCAGGAGGGAAGCCCTGCCAGTCCCCCAGAGTCACCTTCTCAATGACGCTGAATGTCTCTTGGTATTTGGCGATGAGGCCACGGAGGTACCAGCTGATGCGGGATGCATCATCTCCTTGGGGTTGAAGGAGGTCTGAAGCCATGTCCATGAGGTCAATACCTGGTGGGGAGGGGTGAAGAGGCTCACATAGCCTCCCAGGCCCTACCTATTGCCGCAGCTAGAGGTCAGAACCCAGGATCAGCTGATTCGAACCCCCAAACCAGCACAGTGGAGAAAGCAACTCACAGAGGACTTAGCGAGGGATTGCATACGGGTCGTAAAATAAATAAAATCTAACATTTATTGAGTCATCACTCACTTTGTCCTCACAGCATCTCTATGAGGTGGGTCCTATCACTATCTCCATTTGGGGGGGGGCAGTAACCTGAGGCACGGAGAGTAACTTATTTGCCCAAGGTCACATTGTCTTGTGAGTAGTGAAACTGGGCTTTCAAACCCAGAACATGCAGCAGGCTCCGGGGTCATGCTTTTCAGGTGATGTTTCCTGATACAGGAAGATGGGAGATGGAGCAATTTGGTGGGTTCCAACTGCAAGACAATCCCAAATTAGACCTTTCCTCTACTAATCAGTCTCCATGACCCCTGCTCTGGCTACCATCGCATCCCCTGGTCTCCCAGCTTCCACCCCTGCCCCCACAGCCTGTTCCCCACACACAGCCAGAGGGAACTTGTGGACAACTCAGGGCCCTCTCTTCTTCCCTCCCATCCCACTTAGAAGAAAACGCAAGGTCTTTGTCAACACCTTACCAGCCCTGCACGGACATCATTCCCAACCTACTCCTTTGGGCACACAGGCCTCCAACAGTAGTTCCAACAACACAACTCATTGCTTTCCCAGGGCCTTTGTGCTTCCCACTCCCCCTGCCCAGAACAGTCCTTCCCCTGAGACGGTCACAAGACTGATTCTGCCTTTGTCCAGGCCACTGCTCCTAGGTCACCTCCTTAGAAAGGCCCGCTCTGGCTACCCTGGCTAAATAGCAGACCCCATCACTCTCTATCTCCTTTCTCTGCCTATCTCCTACCCTGCCCTCTTGTTGTCACATAATTACGTGCTTATCTCATTTAGTGCCTGTCTCCCTTTCTAGGGTGTGAGTTCTAGGAGCAGAGGAATTTGTGTTTTTGTCCACCACTGCATCCCCAGTGACCAAACGGGGCCTAGTACACAGTAGGTGCTCAATAAGTGAACAATACAGATAACAATTCCTGCCCTCATGAAGCTGCCCTTCTGTGGGAGAAACAAATCAGAAAATACATTTTGTCAGATGGTGATAAGTACTAAAAGAAAACTGAAGGAGAGAAGTAGAGTGGAATGTGTGTGTGTGTGTGTGTGTGTGTGTGTGTGTGTGTGTGTGTGTGTGTGTGAAAGCAGTATGCAGTGAGGGCTGTTGCGGTTATTAAACTGGGTTGTCTGGGACCCTCTCACTGAAAAAGTGACATCTGAGTAAAGAGCTGAAGGAGGAAAGACACCTGGGATAAAAGAGTTCCAAATGTTAAGAATGGCCAGTGCAAAGGCCCAGTGGTAGGAATGCCCCTGGTCTGTGTGAGGACCATCAAGGAGGCCAGGGAAGCTGGAGTGGAGTAAGCAAGGGGGAAGATGGGAAGAGTCAAGGTCAGAGAGGTGACAGGGGCCAGCTGTGTGGGGCTTCGTGGGCCATGGGGCTGACTTTGGCTTTTACTCTGAGTGAGACAGAGCTATGGGACAGTTCTGAACAGAGTCGTCCTTCCTTTTCTTCCTCCTGGGCTTTTTGTCTGTCCTCTAATAATGCCAGTTAACAAACCTGAAAAGTCATTCCCATGTACAGCCACACCCCTGACTCTGAGGCTTCCTTGCCTCCACAGCTGGTTTAAATAAGCGAGACCAGAAGAGTGTTAGTTAGCTCAGGGTAGAGCTGAATTTGTGCAAGTTAAATACAGTTAAGACAGGACCCCCTGGTGTGACATTGGCCAGGTCACTCCATCCTCTGGGTCTTCGGTTTCTTCTCTGTAAAGTGTGGGTAAAACCCTCCCAAAAGTTGATGGGACTGCAAGCCTTTAAGGAGACAGAGCCCAGGGGCACTTTGCACAGTGTATGGCATCATAAGTTACTATTATTATCTCCACTTCAGTGGAGGCCTGAACCGCTTGGATCAGTCCAAGGGCGTCAGCTGCCTGCTACACCATGTCTGAGAAGCCTGCATGATTCAACAGGAGTCAAGATTACTCTCAGAACAAGCCCACCTTGGCACCTTGCGATCGCTCTTCCCACTATTTTTTTCTAGTGTACACGCCCTGCCTGAACCTGCAGACACTAGCTCTTGCAAACCCTTTAAATAAAGGGCTCCAGACCAGGGTACAAGGTGTCCCCTCCAATGTAAGAACTACTCACTGCAGAGAAGTCCTCCATCTTGTTCCCCTGTAAACTTTGAAATGTTGCAGGTATCATTCATCATCATAATGAAGTTATTTGTAATCATAAATGGTAACAGCTACATCGATAAAAGTTTTATACGTATTAATGCTTTATACATATTCACTCATTCAATCCTCACAGCAACCTGACATAGGTGTTGATATTATCTCAGTTCTGGTCAGATTAGGGAACCACAGCACAGAGAGGTGAAGGGATATTGCGCAGGAGTCACAGGTGGGAGGTGGGTGGCTGCTGGGGCCAAAGCCCATATCGCTTGCTGATCCATGAAGCATGCATGTAGCCCAGCAAAAGATATAAAAACTAAAACAGGAAACTCAACACTCTTTGGAGTTACATAATAGCATCCAGAGTTTCCACATCTTCTTCCAATATCCCAAATCCAGGCTATAGTCCAAACTTGCTCCAAATACAAAGAAACAGGAATATGAAACCCTTTTTTTCAAAAGAAAATAAACAGAGATTGACGCCAAAACAACCTAGATGATGGAATTAGGAGACAAAGATTTTAAAGCAGCCATTATAAATATGCTCAATGGCACAAAGAAAGATGTGCTCGTCATAAATTTTAAAAAAATGAAACTTCAGCAGAGAAATAAAAAATACAAAAAAAAAACCAAACAAAAAAAAGAAGAACCAAATGGAAATTTGATAACTCTAAACTAAAATAGCAGAAATTTTTAAAAAATCACTGGATGGGATCTTAAGACCAGAACAGAGATGACAAAGGGGTCAGTGAATCTGGTCAGTGGAAATTATCCAGTCTGAGGAACAGACCCGTGGGACAATCAGAAGATCTCGCAGACATGTAAAATGGAAATCAGTTCATGTGTGTTGGATAGTTGCATGAAAGCACATTATTATAACACACTTTACTGACACACACACACAAGAACAGACCCTGAGAGGCTAAGGGCCTCGGTCAGGCCACAAACCCAGGATGGAAACCCTGACTTCAGAGCCCATGATCCTGTCATGTTCTGTGGGACTATTTTCTGTATTTGAATGTTTTAAATTGTCTAAAATGATAAAAGGCGAAGTTAGAAGCTGCTGAAAACCCTAATTAAGAAACATTGTTCTGTTCCCAGGAGCAGGGGTGACTGGAGCGGGTGGGTATGGAGAGCACCTGGTACCTGCAGTGAACGTTTTTCCTGCACCAGAGATCACCACAGCCCGACAGTCAGGATCTTCCGCTATCTTGTTGAAGCACTCCACCATCTCTCTGTGGAAAAGCAAGGAGTAAAGAGCTGCGTCTTGGGTGGGAATCCCCTGACCTCATGTCCAACTGTCCCCCACAACCCATACCTGCCCAATCCCTCAAGCCCCTGCCTCCTCCTACAGGTAGGCCTCCAGGATCTACAGACCGGACCTCCAGAAAGCCTTGTTCATGGCATTCCTCTTCTCTGGCCGGTTTAGCTGTACATGCAGAACGTGTTTCTGGGCTGCTGTCACCCGAAGGGACTCATACTTGTGGTCTGGGGCTTCACTGGGGGCTGCTCTGGAGACCTCATTTTGTGCAGAAGCGCTCATGGGGCGAAGACTAAGGTTGAGACCCAGGTGGGTGGGGGCTGTCAGTCCTGGGCAGATAAAGTAAAAAAGCTTTGATGACCCCAGATTGAGGACACAGCACCTTCAAGAGCAGAAGGCACACATCTCAGTGACAAGGCTGGGGAACACGGGACCCTTAGAGACCTCGGTTTAGGGAGACACGGAGTTTAAGATTAGGGGTGCACATAACAGTGACCTCCGTCTGAGGACCACTTCAGACCCTTGATTATGGGACTAACTCAAGATTGGGGACAGTGAGCCGTCAGCAACCCGACTGTAAGACACGGGCCGATAGAACTGGGGACCCCCATGCATGGGAACACGGACTCCTGAGTTTAAGGGGATCAGACCCTGCGTGACCCCTGACAGGCCTCCTCGTCCTATGATCTCTATGAGAGCATAACAGCGCAACACACTCCCAGAGGTCAAGAGGTGACTCACGCCACATTAGCAGGTCGCGGAGTCTGTGAGAAACCGCCATCGCCGCCGCCATTGCTACTGAATTGCCAGAGTATTCCCGACAGGAAGCCAAGGGGGCGGGCACAAAAAACCACCATGTTGGGCGAGGGCATCCATGCCGCTGCCGATTGCGGTGACCACCTTCTTGCCGCCATCTTTACTAAGGGCAACCGGAAATAGCCTTCTCGGTCAGTGGGCTGAGTTACTGAACGGCTTAGAAATGGCCCCTTTGGCCCAGTAGGAACCTGGCCTAAGAAAATAGTTCACACTGCTGCAGGCCGTTCCTGTATAAAGTTCATCACAGCGCTACTTTATAATGGTATTAAAATGGGACAGCCAAGGACATAATGGCAGAATAACTGCAGCCCTGCAAGTTTGTAATCATGCACGTGTACCAAATTAACTAAAAAGGAAAAATGGTTATTTAGTAATGAGTTTACCCGTGCAAGGGAATATAAATACAGACAGACGGGCCAACACTAAACGCTGACTGTAAAATCTGTCTGAACCACCACACCACCACAAGGTCCTACTATTTTCTTTCTTATTTTTTTATGGAAAGAAAAGTAGGTTTTATTCTAGAATGCCAGCATTAAGGGAAGACAGTGGACTCCCTGTAACAAAGGCTGCTTTGCTCTCTCAATATTGCTGAAAGGTTTTATTGACACAGCAAGGAGGGGCAAAACAAAGGAAGAAGTTGGCTAGGCAACTTCAGGAAAAGGTTCTGCCTAGGGCTGGCCTAGTGGCACATTGGTTAAGAGTTGGCTTGGGACCCCAGCTCTGAGCATCAGGGCCCAGGTTTGGATCCCAGGAGGGCCAGTGACACTGTGTCCTCTACAGCTAAGATTTGGTGAACAACAGCTCGACCTGGAGCTGGGCTGCCGTTGAGTCTCAGGCAACGATGCAGGCTGCAGTGAAGCTGCAGTGGGCTGCCGTGAGCGGCTGTCCAATGGCTGCCAAGCAACTGCCTCACCCAGGAAGAGCGCAATGATAATACCAACATGGGCCAGTGAAGCCACGACGTCCTCCACAGCTAGACTGAAGAACAAAAGGACTTGTCTGTTCCCCTTTCCCGATTCCCCAACGTTGTTCCCCTCCCCCAAATCCCCAATAAAATCTTTTTTTAAAAAAAGGTGCTTCCTAGAGGCTATTCTGCCCCAGGTCAGGAGTGAACCCCATACAGATGCAGAAAACCCCTCCCAAGTTACTTGGCAGGTGTGCACACTGGTCCGCGGTCCTACTGTTTTCCGTTGTATACAAGAAACTGGGGTTGGGGAGGGAAAGTCACTAGTTCAAGGTTTCTGGGCTTCAGGAGTGCTGAAGAGGGATTTTACATGGATCTGAGGTCCATGTTAATTTGTTCAAAAAATATTTTTTGGAAAAAGCCAGTTAATCCAAGAGCATAATTGCTGTGAAACTCCTTTAAGTATGCTTACTGGGGAGACGTTCGCCAGATAGTGAACGGATGTCTCTGGGCAAACGGAATTGTAGAGAATATCTTGCCTTCTTAATGAAATGGACAGGTAGGCTTTTTTTGAAAACAGATCCAAGTTGACTACCCATTAACAGAGACCTATTATCTGTGCAATGGAAAACTCTGAAAACGAAAATACTATGCAAATACCAAGATGTGAGAAAAACAAGTAAAGATGGAGAACATTTAGTTCGGCTGGCATAAGTTATAGATGGCTGTATGTGCATAGAATACTGTTGGGAGCTGGCTGGGATCAGCCAGGGACACTGAGGCTTTAGGTTGGCAAGCTTGGGTCTCCAGGTAGATACAGGCCTGGGGTGAGCGGCCTTGCAGCAGTTTGGTGGGGACCTGTGGGACAGCGCTTCTGCCTTAAATTGCTTCCAGACAATGCAACCGCAAAGACCCCAGCTTGCTGATAGGAAAAGTTTATGGACAAAGGGACTCAGTTGCTCATGGACTATGGACTTGCAGTTTCAACATACATCACCACTCTGGGACTTTCTACCATGGACCTGCTTCACATGGTTGGGACTTTCTACTGTGGACTTGTAGACAGTTTCTATTTGCCTCAGTTTAACCTTGCCTAGCTATATCATTGGTTTATATTGTGTATAACATAGCTTGTTGCCGAGGAGAAATTGTTTCTCCTCAGCCCATGAGTTTTAGCTTTAGGGAATCGCTCCCTAAAATGAGAAAATTGCTTCCCCTTAAGAATCTTGTATACCCAATAAACGAGGTCTCAGTTTTGCCACCAGCAGACTGAGTCCCTCCTGTCCCCCCACTTTGTCTCTCTTCTATTTCTCATCTCCCACCCAATCCTCTCAGGGACCCATTTGGTGAGCTCCTGGCTGAGCAGCCAGGGGCGTTCAGTTGAGCGAGCTGGTCTCATTCATAATAAAGTATATATGCATAGACTATCTCCAGGACCTACAAAACTGCTAATGAGGAATGAAAACTGGGTGCCGGGAGACAAAGTGAGGAAATTTACTTTTTACCTGGATTGGCTTAAAAACAAAGTGTAGCAAACTTTGAAGTTTGTCTGCAAGGTGACTAGTTTCTCCTTGTCCAGAGGTTCCATTTGAAATTTCCCCTAAGCAGTTTCTTCGTCTGATAAATGCCACATGACTTCAGATGTTTATCTGTTTCATCACTTCACAGTAAATTTCCAAAGTGGGCTTTTTCAAGTGCGCGTGCATGGACAAGGCACTGTACTTTTGACTTGCTCCTCTCTACAGGCTGCCTTCCATTATGAGCCAAGGTCCTTAAATCAGGCTCCTTCCAGGTTGTTGCCCCTCATCCTGCCTCCCCACCCCCATACACAAGTTCCCATCTACCATAACTGGGACGTATCTACCATGTTGCAATCATACAGATCTTTTAACCCAGCAATTCCACTCCTAGGAATTACTTCCAGGTCAATACCAGGGAAGTCGGCTAAGGTATTTATACAGACATATAGCACAGTAGTACTGTCTTGTAGTAGCAAAGTTGGAAATTACCTTTGGGACTAGGTAAATTCTAACACACCTGTAATGGCATGGAATTAACCCCTGGTTGTTCACGAAAGGTGAAACCATTGACTCTACAAAGCGGGAGAGCATAGGGAAGTTTTTATTAAAAGCTAGGAAGAGAGAAATACTGGCAGACAGGAGTTTGCCAGGGCAGTCTGATAGACAGCTGCCCCTAACACTTCAGGTTAGCTTTTTCTTATATAGGTAAAGGGGGAGTCAGCTAGGCAAAAGCCTAGGAGTGGACATCCCTTCCTGGGGTCTGGTCTGTTTGAAGATAATGTCATCTGTGGACTCAGACTTGGCCATGGTGGCCTGGCACTTTTTATGTGTCACCAGTAAAAACAGCAAGGGAATTGTAAATTGGTGTCCTGGCGCCTAAAGATTAAGAGATTGCTCTCTCCCAGGTTAAGTTGTTAATTAACGAGGTATGAGTAACCTTGAGAGAAGGAACAAACAGAGTCCTTCAGTTAATCAGTGAGGGGAGAAACAAAGAAAACAGATGAATATCAGGATGGATCAAACTGCAAACAAACTAATTACAGGTGGCTAGATAGCCAGTAAGTCAAACTGCAAACCAGCTAAATTTAACTTGCTTTATTTCACCCTTACAACACCCACACAAGAAACGCTGCAGGGGTAAAGGAAGTTGCTCTGTATATGGTGATACAAAACACAGCCATTTAAAAAAAAAAAAACTTCTCCAAATGGAACTCCAGACCATGCTTCTCTCCCACCCAGTTCCTCTTGTTTTGCACACATCTTTTTTCCTGCACTTTAACTGCAGGAGTCTAACTGGTCATTGCCCAATGTGAGACAGGGAAGAAAAAAAAAATCACCAAGAATTATTTAAGGGACTTGGGAGAAAACTTTCACTTTTAGTTTTCAGAAGTTTTAGTTTCCATATTTATAAAAGGCAGGTGTTCACGTCTCAGGATTAATTAAGGCTCTTTATTTTTTTAATCTTTTGAAGTTTCCCATCTTTTCAACACCATCTATTTTTTCAGCAACTCTCATTAGATTGAGCTTGCTTGGGCAGGCCCCATGAAAAATACCATGTCTTCCAGCTTTTCCTCAAGACTCATGAGTTCCTAGCATCATTCCCAGTCCGCAGCCCTGGCCCACCCCGCTCCTCAGGCAGGGCTGGGCCTGCAGCTGTGTCCTGGCCTGCCTGTCCCTCTTCAGAACACCAGGTGGGTGGGAAGCAGACACACCCTGGAATCCCAGAAAGTGCTATGTTTATTTTCCAAACCATTTTATTGAAATGTGCAGAGAGTACATGGGCAGCACAAATGTATGAACGGGGAAAAAAAAAAATCACATGTACAATAATTTTTAAAAAGTGAAGGTTAATCTTGGGAGATATCAATTCCCTTCCCCTCCCCCTCCAGACTTCCAGCGTTACCATTATGGTTAAGCCTCTACCAACCTAGCATTAAAAAAAAAAGGAATACAGGAACTTTTGAAAAAACAAAAAACAAAACAAAAAACAGCATAAAGGGGAAAAAAAAAAGTTTTCCTGCTTAGACGGGACTCTTCCTCGGCGGCACCTAATTACGAGGCGTGCTGAGCGGTAGAGAAACACAATTTCAGGGTGTAAGGGTATGGACCATCTGAAAAAGAGAGGACAGAGAAGTCTGGATGGGCCCCTCTGGAGGCTACCCCCACCCAGTTCCCCTCATTTTGCAAACATCTTTATCTACAGTTCAACCACAGGGGTCTAACGGGTCACTGCCCAATGTGAGACTTAAAAACAAGTCCAATACACAAGGCATTTCTTCGTCTTTTCCTTTACTCCCACGGAGAATCCCATTCTTAGCTCCATGGCTGGCCCAGGGCAACAGGCTTGCCTCAAGAATTGGGTGGGCAAATTTTATCTGCTGGGTAGTAGTATGACCCCTTTCCTGGGTACTATATCTGAGCCAGCCTCTGTGGCTGACACGGCTGGGTGTTACTGGCAGTTTCTGACATAGAAAATACCAACTCCCTAGAGGACAAGCCTGAGCAACTCCCAAGCTGGCAGAGTAGATGGCAGCAAGCAACCAGGCTGGGCCTCCCATGGGGAACATCAGGCTCCTCTGCTAAAGAACAGGTCCTGTGTCAGTGA